CTTCCTTGAGCTCCCGTTCTAGATTTGATCTAAAGCCCGATTGAAGCAGAATGACAGAGAGTTTCTCAAATGAGTCGTCCGTTTGTGTCAAGTGTTTAGAAAGTGGAAGACTGGGTAATTTGGTCGAATGGGATCGGTGGTTGTTAAATCTTTTATTGAAGGCTGTTATGGTTTGTCCCACATACTGCATCTGAAACACCCGACACCTAGGGAGGTAGACAACGTCGGGAGTGCAGCACGTAAGGTCCCCGTCGATCCTTATGGTGAAATTTGATTTCGTGCTTCTGGCAGTATCAGTTGTGAAGATTTCGGCGCACACCTTGCACCCAGGCTTCCCGCAATGTCTGCATCCCGAGGAGGAGTCCCGTGTGGAGCGGGAACTAACGAGCATGTCCTTTAGGCTCCTAGAACGTCGGTAAGTTACACGGGGAGGTGGTGGAAGTATTTCTTTTAGTCGCTGGCTTTGTTCGATTATATTAAAGTGTTTGTAAAAGAATTTTGTTGACGTTGGGGAGATTAGTGCTGTACGTTAGGACGAGGTTAGTTGGCCGGCGATCGTCCCGTGGCGGGGGGCGATCCGCCAACAGTTGGTTGCGGTCAAGTGCTCTGGATCTATATATCGCGTCGTCAACGACACCTCTCGGGTATTTTGCTGTACCAATACGCCTCGAAGATCTTCAGCGTTTTTTTCAAAGTCGACTTGTTCGAAACATATTCGTCGGAACCTATGAGCCTGACTGTAGGGGATACTGTTTTTGCAATGACGTTGGTGCGAACTGTAATAATGTAGGTATTTCTGGGAGTCAGTAGGCTTTCGATAGAGTTTCCTTCGTAGTTTGTTTTCCTCCACATACATGCTCACATCCAAGAAGCTGACCGACATCTGTGAGTACTCATGTGAAAACCTAACGCTCGGATGCACCCCATTGAAGCGTTCTATGAAGCTCAATAATTGGTCTTAGAAATATGTCCAAATAAAAAAAAATGTCGTCGATAAATCTCTGATAGAAAATGGGGCGGAGGGGGCATGTGTCAATAAACTGTGATTTTTGTGAGTGTTGCAACCACATCACTATCGGATGTGTCCAGCCGCCTGTGTTTATCGTACGCCTCCAATAGTGCCGTTAAACCATCGTCGTGTTGTATGTTGGTGTATAGGGATGAAACGTATAAAGTTACAAGAAATGAGCAATCAGGAATATTGATCTGCGCAGCCTCACGGAGAAAATGACCAGTGTCCCTAATGTACGACGAGAAGGTAGTTGGAATATGTTTGATAAGATTGCCTGCAAAACCCGAGATAGGTTCTGTTAGCGTCCCAACACCAGATATAACCGGACGACCTGGGTTGCCAATTTTGTGAGTTGTGGGTAACAAATAGAAACGGCCAGTAGCGGGCTGCGTCTGTTTTAATGCTGCCTGAAGTTTGGGTGTAATTTTGTTCTGTCCTGCTAATGTGGCGAGCGCCTCCGTTACGATTTTCGTATTGCCCACAGTGGGATCGGAAGTAAGGTGTTCGTAAAAGTTAGAGTCATTCAGTTGGCGGAGGCCCTCCTTTATGTAGTCGTCGGAATTCATTATCCCAATCGCACCCCCTCTATCTGCGGGCTTGATGACGACATCGGTCCTTGAGCTCAGTGACTTATAGTATTTCGTTCTTGAAGGCTCACATTGTGCCTGTTAGAGCTGTGTTTTTGGTACGTTTGCATAATTTCTCTCTGGACAGCGTTAATGTAGAGGTCCAAACACCTGTCCCTCCCGCTGACTGGTGTCCAATCACCAGGGCCACGTGGTATGGCTGAATTTATTATGTCCGGAAGTTTCTCATGAAAATACTCCCGAAGCCTTAAATTGCGTGCGAAGTGATCCAAGTCGCAAAACAGTTGAAACTCGTTGTATTGCCCGGTAGTTGGACAAAAATTCAGTCCCTTAGAAAAAAGAGCTAGCTCGTCGGAGGATAATTGGATTGTGGAGAGGTTTACCACATTTGCAGATTCGTATCTTGCGGTGTCTCTGTGTCATCATGAACCACATGGGCCACAGGCCCAGGCCAAGCCCCCTATTGGTTACAATTTCAGATTCGACCTCTGTGTTCATTCGAAATAGTTCAAGATCAAATGTGACGTTGTCTCGCGTAAGTTTTTTTGCCTTCAGGGAAATGAGTTCCTTGCGTAATTTCACCTCAAAATCACGTCTATCCTTGAGTTCCCTTGGCGTGAAAATGTTGGATTTTAGAGTATTTTTTTCTTGCTCTTTCAACCAAGTCTTGTCACAATGGCTAATGGTTAAACCGACCAATTTCAGCGAAGCGTTGCTGAGCGCGCTCTGCCATTCCCTGCGGTCCTCGGAATTTAGATCATTCATTGCTGGCGGATGTGAGATATAGCCCTTAAAGCGGAACGCCCGCCTCCAGGTAAACGCAAAGAGTGGCGCTGTGCAATTCATGTCGAATGCGTTTCCCAGACATTTTGCGTAATTTGAGAAAAATGTGGCTGGGACAGGGCAAAGAAGGGGGCGTCTCACGTGGCAGTCAGTTGCGGAACCTTGCGACCTCGTAGAATGTCCTCGCCCTCAAGTTGTAGCGGGGAGACGGGGGAGCCGAGCCAGGTGGAGAGGGTGCGCCTCGCGGAAGGTGTGGGAAGTCCGGCCCGTCATGGACCATGATGCTCCCCACCACACGTTGGTAGAACACTCGGTGACTCGAAGCCTGACCCCCCAATGGCCCGCGTCAACGGCAGACCCGTTGTCCGGAACGCGTCGGCATCGGCAGCCACCGCAACCGAAGAAGGACTCGCCGACCACAGTGGTAGCGGTGGAGGTGCTCCACGGGGCAGGATCTCCCTCAGGTGCTCCGCCATCAGCGCCACGCCGAGGAAGCTGGGGTGCACACCATCGGCGGCCAGGAATCGAACTTGGCGGAAGGTCCGTGAAGCCGTGGTCCACGTAGGAGACCGTTCGGGAGCGCCTATACACCGGTTCTTGACGCTCTCGTTAAAGAGCCTCGCCTGCCAATTGAACCAGAAGATGAAACGCTGGTTTGGCGAGCCTCCCCGACGGTTGGTGTGTCGGGGTAGAACCAGCGAGACGAAAATCTGACGAACCTCCGGACGCTCCCTCAGGGTCCTGTCCACCAAAGAGAGATATCTCTTCAGGGTCTCCTCCCACCACACGACGCCAAATCGTTGGTCCCGACGTGGAACACGATGGTCGTCACCGATTTTTTACGCCCTCCAGTTCGCGTTCAATATCCAGGATCCGAGCTCCACGCCTGGTGATGAACGCCGGGGTTCCTTTTTGGTTAGGATCAAAGTGGTTGAGGAGGTACTTGGTCTGTGAATCTCCAATTATAAGTGACGTGGGTAAAAATTTTGGGTACTTCCTTGTAAGTCTCTCCTCGGTGGCGGCGCCAGAGGCCATTCTTATAAATGACATCTTCAAGTTGTGGGGAGCCGAGGCGTTCGCATATAAGTAAAAAAAGCCACCGAGGTTCAAACAAACTTGGATAGTTTAATCGGACGTTTCGGAGGGGGACCCTCCTTCTTCAAGCGTGACATAAAAGTGAATATGGTTACATGATGGCCGAGATTCTCACTCGGAGAGGGAGAGGAGAAAGCAGTACATGAGAGGGGACGACAGAAGGCACAACATAACAACACAAATGCCCCAAAAAGTGACGGCAACAGCAATTATGTACGAAGTTACGATTAACGACAGGAGGAACACAAAGGTGTCCCCAGCCCCGAAAAACCTCCGCCGATTACGGAACTGCGATGGCAGGTCCCCAAGGGCAAGAAGCCACACGCGGCCGGCAGAGCGAGGCATCTGGGGCGGACCCCCGCCCGCCCAGACGATCGTCTCCCTGCTGTGGACAAAGCTGGCGGAGTTCGTCTACGACGACGACGGCCCCGGTGGACGACTTTGCAGCAGCCGAAGGCGCTGGGACCAACACCCACCCAGACCGCCATGACGGCAACGGCAGATCCTTAGGCCCGCACCGATGCAGACGACAATGGTGCATTAGATGTGTGTATGGTATATGTGTGTGTATATGTGTATATATATATATGTATACATATATATAACAGGGCAATAAAGAACGTTCTAACAACAACAACAACCCCGCCCGCCCCGCCACAGGCGAGTCCGGCACACTTGCTCCCATGCCCGTCCCGACTCCGACACCGGACCAGAAGCGCCAAAGGGCACCACTCACAATACCTCTGCTAGACAAAGAGCGAGAGGGGGGCAGAGAGGGGGGGGGGGGGGGGTATCGGAAGTGGCGACAATTTGCCCGTTCACACGAGCTGTGTGCAACTCGGTCTCCCCGGGCTCTCATTAATGTCAGACTTGACCGCGTCGAATTCGTATATGAGATGGGCTTCCTTGAGCTCCCGTTCTAGGTTTGATCTAAATCCGGATTGAAGCAGAATGACAGAGAGTTTGTCAAATGAGTGGTATACATACATATATATAAATATATATGGGAAAAACTCTATAAGAATAGAGGAGAAAAAAAAAACACGACGAAAATATCAATTCAACTTAGCCTAATAAACCAGCATCATGTTTACGGTGGCAACAAATGACTTATGTTCACTGACGAAGGCGATTTCCCATTGGAAGGCTGTTTAAATCCAAAATTGCAAGGAGAAGAGGCGACTTTTTCAAAATTTTAGTTCCTGCATATTTAGTGTTAATTTTAAAAAGGTGAGCTGAACGGGGTGATATATTCTGAGCTTGCCGTATGAAACCATATTTAGGAGCTGAAGTGCCATGGTTAACTTAACGGCTGAAACAGAAAGTGTCATGTTAAAAAGTTGAATTTAAGAAGGCATCGCGATTCATGGCTACTATTACGAGCTTCTTTATGATTTTAAGTGAAACCAATTTACGCAATAAGTTTGATGATCTTGGAGCATTCGCAGAAATAGTGAAGCCTGTACACGCGTTGCTAATAAACTTTATAAAACCAAACTATCTTTGTGCCGTGCAAGTTTGACTCACGCCGCAATGAGGTGCGGGTACTTGATCCTGAACCAGGCAGCCAGCATGCCTCCATATGAGCCACCGAAGGCTACAAACTGACTCTTTGCCGCTCCAGCTAAAGTAGTCTTCAAATAGACCACCAAGTAAGCGTAGTCGGCCAGCGCCTGTTCCGAAGTTAGGTATCCAAGGTTTTTGGGACTCTGAAAAAAAAAGAAAAAGAAACAGATAACGAAAACCACAACGTTTCTAAAAAGAGCGTATCGCTCGGCGTTCCGTTTTATTAATTCAAATCTGCATGCGCAACCCTGTTCCTTTATCCTTAGAGCAATATCAGAGAGTTTTGACGTGTGAAAGAAGGATCCTATCTTTATACCCTTACTAAGAACAGATGCGTTGTAGAGATGACGAGAGCTTAAAGTCAGAGTGTGACTGACGAGCCAGTAGGACCGATCGTGCAACTTCAAAAGAGCAACGCCATGAAGCGCATGTCCATCATTAACTGTGAACTCAATCAAGCGGAGCGAAGGCGCCTTGGTCTGGTGCGTTTATTTTGTTCCGTTCTTCTTTGTGTTTGCGAAATTTCACCTTTTTTTACCCAATTTCGCAGTTGATAGTCTCAGTCAGATAGGCGCTCGTCGTTCACTCTAAAAGGGGATGGGACTTCACTTTTTTTACGAACATGGAGAGAGCGAGTCACGGCTAACAAAGAAGGATCGTATCGAATGACGAAGATGAAAATACAATTAGATATGAGCTGCACGATGTGCGAAGCGTTAATAAGCCTGACGCATCACTCGCTCGTTTTCACCGTGAACATCGTAATTTCAGCTCTTATAACATTCCGAGCATAGTCAATCGCTGAGAACCTTCTGCTGTTCACCGCCACTGGCTTGCTTCCGTGTTTTGGAGGAAAATAAAGAGCGATATCACTTTTTGGCCTGTGGAGCAAGCACCAAGGATAGACAATGAAATACCGCCACAGTAATGTTAGTCCACGCCGGTGTGTTTCATTAAATAATTCAAAGTTATTAGTGAGTATGCGCGTGCATCATCGAGATTTCTCTTAACGTGTCAAAACAACCAAAGTAGTGTAGTGTTATTTTGTCTTTTATTGCGAAAATAAACGCACATCGCCGAACGAGGTCTTTCCACAATGGCAGCGCCAAGCGGTCCGGACCAGATGCCAATGTTTCAAAACTAACCATTATCTTTTTTCTAAGCTATAACGTTTGAAACAGGTTACGGAAATCTCTGAAACATTGACATCAGGGTGGGACCGATGGCGCTATATACGGAAGGAGACGGAGCGTGCTCTCATCAGTAGCTTATTTCACAGTAATGAAAAACAAAAACAAATGCTTTACGGTTGTTTCTTTTAAGGGGCACCTTGTATGTAGAAAGGACTTTTACCCTGACATATTTTGAGTTGTTGTTGTTGTAGGTCTTGGGCTCTCTCAATTGTTGCCATAAATAATTCAAACTTTTATATCCGCTCTCTTTGAAGAATTTTAGCCCAAAACAGAAAACCCTTAATTGCGACCGCGTAGTAGGTTATACTATTTTTATGCAATTAAAAGCTACGATATTTCTATATATAAATAATGTTGCTTCTTCACGGAATTACCTGATAGGACTCATCGCCGAATGGCAAAGATTTTCCGTAGAACCGATGTTCAGCAAACACAATAAGGGCTTTGAAGTCAGGCGCCCATTCCCAGATAACGCCCTAAAATAAAATCAGAAAATTACAACAGAAGAGAAGCGTTACATACCAAACTAACCGTATTTAACAGTATTTTGAAGACACATTGGAGGGCATAAGGACGTCTTGTTTTTTTTATTATTTTCCGTTTCTGTGGGTTATAAAAATATTCTATAGAAACTTCCCTTAAAGCACTGCAACAGCACTTACTTTAAGAAGTAATAACAAAGAACATTCTCGAACCTCAGAGAAAAATGTGGGGGGCAACTTTCGGACCTGCCTGCATCTAACCAGTATTTTGTTTTGGAAAAGGTTCATATTTTATTGAGCACATCGTCGGCGTGCCGTGCTCGTAAATTTTGAGATATTTAAATAGAAAACGTGAATTAAGCGCGAGACAAATGGACGGCAGAATCGTCCGATCCGACGTCCGAACCGACAGTCCGAAAGCCGCTCCGAATCGCCGCACGCGACAGTTTGAGATACACGCTTCCGACCTTGCATGCGACACGACGATCCGTTCGGCTTCGCCCAAAACCCAGGAGATCCAAGCGTTCCAGCGGACTCCGCGGGTCATCTCTGGTCTCGGATTGACGGTTCAGCTCGCACGAGCGAAATTACGAGCTCGTTCTCGCTAGCGCGTGCATTATTTGCTGGGGCCATCTTTCTCGAATGGGTTCGCGGGATTCATGCGTCCGGCTTCCCTCGCCCGTCCCGTCATCGCGTTCGCTTCGCCCAGCCAGACCCAGTACGTCATCATGACGTTCGCGATGGCTGTGCTGTCATTGGCTGGACGCATCCGACAATCCGTCCGCCGTGCGAAACTATCTGGCGCGTTGGACGCACGTCGGATCGCCGATCCGACGTCTGAAGCGACCAAATTTTTCGGATCAGGCAGTCGTACTGCCGGATCGGACGTCGGACCGGATGGTTTTTTCGCGCATGTGTCTCGCGCTTTAGAGAGGTACTTATGGCAAAAAGGAATGGGAAGTTCGAAAAAAAAAATTATATGGTCTACTTAAAGCAGAATTTAATAAATACTGTGATCTATTTTTGTTTCTTTTTTGATTGCTTAACAATACATTTTTGGGATATATGTATTTTTCTCTGTACGTCTAGATATATGTCTGGGTGAGATATTTTCCCTGTATATACAGCGAAAAATTAATATTACCTTGACTATTGGCATTATAGGCTTGTAATTTTCGGCGGTACAAGCACGACCGCTTGATACTTAAGATCACGGACTCTGGTCAGTGCTGGCAAAATCGCGGGCCCGAGTGGATGGTTTTAGGAAATTCTGTGAGTGTACGAGCGCTTGCGCATGGAAAGCACTTCTGAAAATTACGCGTTCGCGCCTGTACCTTTCTCTGTGCACAAAACAGCTTGTGAGATGAAGTTATAAAGATTTGAGCCTTGAAATCGTCAAGTTGTTTAAATTCTATAAAATACAAATAAATATCCTAGAAGTACTTTCAAGTCGCTCGTATACTTTCAGTGAGGTTAAGTTCTTTCGTAGATTTCGTGTAGTGAATGGCATCCATGTCTTTAAGCTTCGCCGATACGCAGCATAAATATTGTTTAAAAATTTCCGGAACTACATGTCAGTTCTCGAAAAATAATTTTTAAATAACGAATTCTTTTAAAGGAAACCTCCTAACGCCCGAAATGTGCACTTTGTGCGCTTTTTCCCTACATGCATTCCTGCCTTTTCACGGGAAATTTATCGGGTAAATCGAAATCACGTAAACTTAAGTCGCGTGACCTACGTATCGAGTCAGGCTTCTGATTAAATTTAGCGGTGAAAGTGACGTCAAGTACCTAAACAGAAATTGAGTGCATATGCTAACTTCAGAGAGAAAGCTGACAACATGTGACCTGACGTTACGTGGCCTATATAATCAATTAAGTTTCCACGCTATATTTAGAGAGAAATTTACGTCACGTCACGTATGAACATAATTTTTTCTCGCCAAATTCAGCGAAAAAATTGGCATCACGTGGTCTATACATTAATTAAGTTTCCCAGCTAAACTTAGCGAGAACATTTACAACTACCGGAGACATTTACGTCACGTGACGTAGACACCAATTTAGTTTCCTTGGAAATGTTTGCGGGTAAACTGACGTCACGTGAGGGGACGTTACGTGACGTACAAGGTTTTGCCGCTGGATTTAGTGGAGAACTTTTTAAACAGTACATTTTTTCTTCCCTCGCCAAAGCGGCTGTATAATGTCTTCTAAATAATTTTATAAAATCAATTATTTAAACTGCATTTCATGTATTATATAAACCGATTTTAATAAAAGTTGCTGCCATTTAAAAAATAATCCTTGCTCGGTTATTATTACCATTTTGTTTAATACATCAAGTGTTTGTTTCCATCAAGCAAGAAAACTGTCTATCGTTTACGAATCTGGTGTTATCGTTCTGCTATTTTATGTCAGTTTGGGGTTGCTAAAAACAATATTCTCACCGTTTCCTTTATGAAGGTCTCGTAGGGGTCCTCGTTGCCAGTGTAAAAAAACACGGGGCCCCCTTTTCTGTCCCAGAACTGGTCGGCGATCGCGTACCGCAGCTGGTACGTCCGGTTGTCTCGGAAAGTGAAGTGATCGACCTGAAGATAGAGTACGTTCTGTCGAAGAACCGACAAAACATGCACTACTATTGCCTCTACCCGATCTCGATGATGGCTGGATGGAGGCAATATTACCTAGACGACAAGGCCTGCTTTTGATGACATCGCAGGTGGACCCCCAACACGCACCAAACACAAACACGCTGTGCAGCTCAACGAAACGTCGAGTGCGCTGGAGCGCGTATGAGGAAATTGGCTTGACACTACAAAAAAAATCATTTGTGTGGCAACGTGTGGGCAGGTATCCTTGGTCAGTACTGAATTGTCGCGTCGTAAATATCAATGTTACATGGTTTAGTTATTTCTATTTTAATCATCAGACACACCGAGAGTGAATAATTCTTTAGCTCGTGAATTATTAGAGGTTTCTCGCATTTTCATTTCTTTTTCTAGCGTGCGGGTGCATTTGCACTGTTTTGTACAGCGCTGAAAAAATGTCTGAGTTATGTCTAATTTCTTAAATGACCTAGACATCGTCCGAGTTGTCAAAACATGTATCCTTCGTTTAAGCTTTTCTTTTTTCCCCGTTGGGACCTTTGCTGCTTTCAGAAAAAAAAAGTTGACACAATCAACCTGTAGCCAGAGCATTCTTAGAGCGAGTATATTAGCATTCTCGGGCTTGACAACGCACAAAGTTGTGAAGCTCTCGTGTGTGTGTGGTTGTGTTTGGGTGTGTGCGTGTGTGTGTTCGTGCGTGTGTCTTAAAATATTTGTTGTGTAACCAATATTATAAATTCCCAAAATTCATATAATAGGCTTACTTTGGTTGTCAAGTTGTACTCCTTGTATGAAATGTCATTTTGACTTCCCAGCGCAGGCATTATCACAAATAAAGAGGTTGCGAGGCGAAAGAGGATCATTCTTGCTTTCACAGCGCTCTCAGTTTTGTTCCACTGCATGATTCTGTAAGGAGTTGCTGTGAATAATTTCATGCTTAAACAACTATTGCGAACAGTGTACAAAACACTATTAGGTTATTAATGCTACGTATTATTTTCATGATACTTAGAAAACGTTGGTATAAGAAATTACCAAGGTTCATATTCAGGAGGGTTAACCAAGAAAGCAACGCTGTTAATGAATGCACGCTTTTGCTACATTAAAGAACAAAGACAACGTAGGAAGCCATTCTAAGAAAAGTTGACACAGTATATTACTTGGTAGCATAAGAGCACACTCTCTTCGCTAAAGGCTTTCCATTTAGAAAAATTTAACAATTACATCTTGTAACCTGTAAGCTTTGCCTTAATGTTAGATAAAACAATAACTCAAATTTCACCATAGCGCGAGAACCAAACTGAAACACGGTCAAACCCAAAAATTCTGCTAATTTTGTGAATCTAGTGTGTGAGTTTTACCACTATATTTGTATAATTATTGGTTCATTTTGTCAAGCATGAGCTTCTAAGTGTTTGAGGTTATTATATATACTTGCAGGCTAGGCTTTGTCTTTTCTGCGAATGCTTTTTGGTTGTAAAAGGAGTGCATTTACAATTTTGCTGCCAGCTAATCCAGAATAAGACGGCTTCCAATTTTTTTTAACAATTACAAACAGCTAGCAAAAGTAAACGCCTTATCTAAAGGCTAGCGAAAGAAATTAACTTTTTAATTATAGGTCAATATTAATCCTTTACGGTATTCTTTTTGAAATTTGCCCAGAAACAATATTTTATGAATCTATGACAAAATTGTGTTGCCATAACAATACCAGGTTCTAATTCGGGTACAGAAAGAGTTGGTTAAGAGAGTTAGGGCTCCTTACAGAAGATTCAGACAGGTTCCAAATATTATTGAACATAATTTTTTAGCTCTAGGAATTTTCTTAGACAGCTCGTAAGGTTTCAAAAAGAACGACAAACAGCCATAATTTATTACAAAACTAAATTATATAAAGGAATGTAATTTAGGGATAATATCGTTTGTGTTTTACGACATCATAATTCGCTGTATTGCGACAGCATGATTAAAAATTGTAATATTTTTACATTCTGAAATTCGTAAAACGCACTGATATATGGCGAACAAAAAATATAAGACGTCATTAAAGTATTAGAAGATCTCAAACGAGAAATGTGATCGGAATCCCGAGCCCTGAGAGCAAGTGTTGATGACTGCGAAAAAAAATAAAAGCCACAGACGACTTTACGACGGGACGCGACGATGTAAAACTGATGCACAAAGGTGTCGAGAACATTCAGAATCACTCTGATGAGCTACAAAATGAAAATGCTTTGCTGAAACAAGAGTTGTCAACAGCTCAAACCGAAATCCAGAACCTTGATCAATACAGTAGAATGCACAACGTAGAAATAAAGGTTTTTCAGAAAGGAAACAACGCGCATGCTTTCGAAATTGCCAAGAGCGTTGGTGTTCTTGTCAAACTTCCACTCGATATACCAACATCGACATTCGCCACTTTTTTTCTGCGCGCTGGAACGAGACTGAGAACACAATACTCCGGTTTGTGACACGAGGAAAACGCTACGAGTTTCTTGCTGCGTCACTCAAAGCGACGTTTAACAACAAAGCGGTTGGGTTTCCGGACTCAGAAAAAAAGCCAGTCTTCGTAAATGAGCGTCTGACTCAAGAAAAACAAGAGTTACTGGGAGCAGTAGAAGCGAGGAAAAAAGTAAGAAAGGAAACCACTAGAAGCAGTCCAGGACAAGAAATCGAAGGTTTTCACGAGGCAAGCAGATGACTCGTGCACTGTGTACATCAAGTCTAAAGAAGAAATGTCGAAGATAAACTAAACGTAGGACGACCACCCCAGGAAGTACAAAAAAAACTACTGGTCCACCACACTTCCTAGATGTTAAAGTATTTAATAGCTTTGTTTCAAAACTGTCCAATACATTTTCTATTCTTCATTTGAATATTAGAAGCCTTCAATCTAAATTTGATGACTTCGAATGTTTTATTAGATCACTAAAACTGAAATTTGATGTATTGAAATTAAGCGAGACTTCGTTTAGAAATATTGACGTATATCTGAACGGACATCACTGCGAATCTGGAGTTTATTGCTTTTTTGTCACAGCTAGCAAACCTAACTGAGCGTTAATCAGTCTTCGATGTTCGTCGTAGAGAATTCTGGAAGGTTCCCCATTTCCGTACAAATTATGCACTGCAGTCTCTTGCTCATAATCTAACTACATTGCTTAACAACATTGTAATGAACCGCATCAATATTCATTGTTTAACTAAGAAAACATTGCGTACTTTTTTGTGTTGTTAAATTAAGAAAAAAAATGTTCTCTAATGTCGGTGATTTTAAAATTTTATTGGACCATTTTAAATTGTTTGATTTGAATATTGTAAGAAATATTTAGGATTGTTTAAATATGATTGCGTTCCCTGTACATGCAAGGGCACCGGACCCAGTCAAGCTAGCTTCTGTTAGCTTTTTGTCCGGTGTCCTCGGCATAATGTTGCTGAAAGAAAGTTCAAAGTTCAAAGTTCAAAGTTCAAATCTGTATATCGGCTGCATAAGGCTGGAAATGGCGTTGCTTTGCATATCAATTATATCATTGACTTTGTTTTATTCACGGAACTTTTAGTGACCACGCCCGATTATGAATTTATTGCATTTGTGTGCTGAGCCATTTTTGTGTTTATCCTGTAACGTCTTCCTGATGGGAATAGATCGGTGTGCTTCATATTTCTGAGTTCTGTTCTTCATTATGCTAGCTCCCTTAGACGTAAGGCGATATATGTTGGTGAGACAAATATCGATGTACCGGTTGAAAATGCACAACAAATAAAACTTTTAACGCTTGTGCAGTCTTTTGGGTGTTATAACGTAATTCACACCCACACTCGTGTCACGTGCACATTCTTCACACTACTCGATGCATGCATCAATGATTTTGACTCGGACGACATACCCTCAGAAACCATCACCACCGGGATAAGTAACTATATGCCAATATTGTGTATTTCGACTAAAATAAATAAACAAACGTACCAATCGATTGGTTCCTTGAAGTTATCGATATATATTGGAAGAAGCGCTGAACACACTTTATAATTTATTAGTGGCAAAACGAAAGGGAACCATGTTCTGTCTGAAAGTAACCTGAATAAATCATACGACATATTATCGAAAACAATACTTAGCTCCTACGAGATATCGTTTTCACTGCAATCGAAGAAGCCGAATAAACGAATTGGAAAAGCTTAGAACACGAAAGACCTTTTCTACAGGAGGTAGAAAAACAAATAATATACAAGCTTGGTTCGTCGAGGCTCTAGATAAGACCATTTTTTAATTCAAAATATATGAAACCTAATTAAACTCCGACATTCAGAACTTAAAGCGAAATTTCTTTCAACCCAAGTTTAACAAGGTACACGACGACCCAAAAAAGATACGGGAAACGATACACGAGCTTGTGATACTAAAGCCTCGTCATAACAGCTTACCAGACCTTACAATAGACGAAGAAATCCTATCTGGGATTAAGCTGGCGACAAAATTGAACACACATTTCCGATCGGTCAGCAGAGTACCGAAAACCCCGCGCGAGCGCTTCCGAAGAGAGAGAGAGAGTTTCGAATGACCATGAAACGAACACCACAAGGGAAAGCTTTTCGGCGTCGATAAACCCCTCTTCAGCCGAAAACGAGGATGACACCGACGTCAATCCGAACCCGCGGATTGACAAGGGTAGAAAACGATCGCCATCAGGGCGAGGAAGTGCGGCCTCTTTTCCGCCGAGACGCTCCACGATCATTCTCACGCTACGACCGCGGACGAGATTCAACATCGACAGCATCCCCAAAAGAATGATCGCTACTCAACTCCTGAGAACTTTGGACCCCGGCGTCAGGTCAGGCCAATGTGGAAACACGACATCTGTCGGAGCAAACCCACTGTCGGTGTCCTTGTATGAGCCAAGACACCTCGAAAGTCTGCTTACAACTACCTCAGTTCAATAAACACACGAAACGGTGGAGATGCATGCGTACCAAGCACCCACGCGCGGCATGGTACGCGGGGTCATATACAAAGTGGATCTCGACGAATCGGCCGAGACGCTGACGAGCTGCATTTACTCCGAAACCCACGAAGTGCTTCAAGTAAGGCCCATGGACAGAAGTGGTGCTTGCCTCATCACCTTCAGGGAGGTCCAGATTTTCCCAACACGTGAAATATCGCGGGGGCAAATCTCCATACCGTCCAACAGCGGTCGTCTGCCACAGGTGTCACGGCCTCGACGACAAAGCCTACATCTGTACTAAAAAGGAGCGATGCGACCACAGGATATGCGACTGACGAGGGATTTATAAGCCGAAAAGTGATGTAGCTCGGTCGGCATTTCATTTTTATATTTAGCTTTCAGAAAAGCTGTGTCCAAGTCGAGCAGGAAGCAGGCGCTTGTTCTATTTATTCATTTTCATCAGAATGATTCGAGCAAATACGAGAGCAGGCTCACATGCATTCGCTTTTTTTTTTTTCTCGAAAGCTGCAACCAACGCCCAATAGAAGGGAGATTTTTTTTTTTTTTTTTTAACCTACGCAGTGCTTCATTTTCGCTCGCTTTGCGCTCATTTCATGCGCTCGTTTTGGTGAAATGCAGGTGGTGTCTTTCGTTTTTCCGCAGCAGGAAGAGAGTGATAAGGAGGGGGGGAGAGGGTGACTCGTACGACACTGCCATTAGTCCGAAGCGCAGACGTAAGCACGCGTCAGCCTCTCCCCCTCCTTCTTTCTCTTTTCTTGTAGCTGACAAACGAAAGACACCGCCGGGCTTTCCTCGAAATGAGCGTTCAATTGCTAACGCGTTAAAAAGCTGGGGCACGGCGTAGCTTTCAGAACAAAGTG